TTTTGTTCCTTTTTTTTTCCTTTTTTTTGTTGTTCCTTTTTTTCTTTTCTTTTCTTTTTCACTGCTCTCTCTCTTCAGAGCGACCCAAAAACATCCCGTCTGTCCTTCGGGACATCCGTTAAAATTGGAACGATACAGAGAAGATTAGCATGGCCCCTGCGCAAGGATGACACGCATAAATCGAGAAATGGTCCAAATAAAAAAAAAATCTCGTCTTGGAACATGTGTTCCATGATGACATGGCAGAACGCCAGTTAAAAAATATGTGAGGTGAGACACCGTGAGAGAAAAATATATGGCTGTCCCCCGATGAGGAGAAGGCAGCTTTGAGTTGGGAGGGGGAGAGGGGTCTTAATTTTTTTTTTAAAAGAAGACGAAGACCAAAAAATTCTCGTTTAAAAAAAAGAAAAATAAATCCCTGCCCGGAGATCAGGAAGCCGCAAGCCGGCAGCGAAGGATTTGATTGCCTCTGAGGATAACCGGAGCACAGCCCGTCCAAACGCGTCCAGGGTTAACAACAACAAAAAAAAAAAAAAAAAAAAAACGCGTCCAGGTAAGTGCGCGTCCTGAGTTAGTGGACGTCGTGGTTGTCCTCCGATGAATTCAACTACTACGTGCTCAGAAGCATATCCATGGCTTTTGCTTTTTCGGGTTTTTTTTTTCTTTCGAATCCATGCCCTTTGCTTTCTTCTGCCATAATCCGGACCCACCACCAAAAACAAAAAAAAAGAAAACAAAAAAAAAGAAAACAAAAAAACTGCAAGCTGGTGACGTCCGCAACAAAATTCCCATTACCCATCTCGAGTAGCCAAGGTGAAGAAGGAGAATAGAAGAAAAGAGAATGAAGTAGCGAGGCCAATCGCCACACGTCAACCCTTACGAAAGAGAAAGAAGGAGGAGGAGGAGGAGGAGGAGGAGGAGGAGGAGGAGGACGCGGAGGACGAGGAGGAGGAAGAAAATCAAGGCGAAGGAGAGAACTGACAAGCAAGGGCCAGAACACGCACATGTAGAAGGGGGAGCAGGAGGAGGACGGCCATGAAGAGGAGGAAGAGAAGGAGAACATAGGGGAAGAGGAGGAGACGGAGGAGGAGGCGGAGGAGGCGGAGGAGGCGGAGGAGGGAGGGTAGAAGGAGGAAGAGGAGGAACTCATACCGCGATTTGGTCGTTGATGTCG